TTCAAACTTTTACTTTCGTACGTGATAGTTTCAGTTGCTCTTTGTTTGTTTATTTTCCCGTGTGTGACCCAGATGAACGTGCTGACGTCTTCTGTGTCATCACGGTTCACTTAGAAAAAACAAGTTTTACTTGGTTGCCGTTGGGAAACAACTTTTCGGTTCCCAAACGCTCTGATTTCCAGCGTGAACACGTGAGTCGGTTCAGGATTTGGTGTGGGAACCGGAACCGGCACAGTTCTCTCGGTCTGAAAACACTAAGGTTTAACATTCCAGGCAAAACAAAAACATCTCCATGGAGACAAGCAGATGCAGCTTCTCTCTTCACAAAAGTTCCATGGTGCATCTTTAAACATGTGGTTCAACATTTAAAAAAAATAAAATGAACATGAAAGAACATTTGAATTTCACTGCACAAAGAGAAACATCGACAACGTCTCAAGTATCGAAGACTGAAACCAAACCAACGTGAGCTCTGTGGTCCTCTTTGTCTTTTATTTAATTTTTTATTTGATTTGATTCAGTTTTATCTTTATGCATTTTAACACTTTTCATTTACTGTTTTTATTTATGATTTACTCTTTTATTGTATTAATTTGTCTGTGCAGCATTTTGGATTCAATAATGTTTATAAAATGTGCTACAGAAATAAATTTGATTGAATAAAGTGTGTTTTTTGAACCGGAAATAAAACAGGACTAAACCAGGACTAAGCATCTTGGTATCAGAATCGGTATCGAGTATCGAATCAGTTCATTGGCATTGAAATCCGGTTTGATGTTTCAGAATCGCACCGACACCAGTTACAGAAAAGTCGATATAACACGGGCACTTTTCAGTTTAAAATGTGAACTCGGTATCGAGAATCGCAGACGTGTGGAGGGAGTCGGAGGGAGTCTTACCTGGCTGCCGGACGGCAGTGGCGCCCACGAAGCTGATGAGCGTTACGTCAGATGCCCCGCCGGACTCCAGGGGGATGGGGTGGACTCTGAAGTGCTCCAACATGTCGAAGATGGACTGAAACCAGAGGTGCTGCACACGGCACTGCCCGTCCTCGTTCAGAGACAGACGCAGGTGCTGAGGAGACACGACACAGTTAAGGAGCACTGAGGACTAAAGAGGACACGTATGAGGACTAAAGAGGACACGTATGAGGACTAAAGAGGACATGTATGAGGACTAAAGAGGAAACATATGAGGACTTCAGAGGACACGTATGAGGACTAAAGAGGACACATATGAGGACTTCAGAGGACACGTACGAGGACTTCACAGGACATGAATAAGGACCATAAAGGACACGAATGAGGACTTTAGAGGTCACATATGAAGACTGTAAAGATCACACATGAGGACTATAAGGTACACATATGAGAACATTAGAGGTCACATTTGAGGACTTTAGAGGACACATATGAGGACTTCAGAGGACACGTATGAGGACTTCAGAGGAAACGTATGTGTACTTCAGAGGAAACGTATGTGTACTTCAGAGGACACGTATGAGGACTTCAGAGGACACGTATGAGGACTAAAAAGGACACGTATGAGGACTTCAGAGGACACATATGAGGACTTCAGAGGACACGTATGAGGACTAAAGAGGACATGTATGAGGATTAAAGAGGACACGTATGAGGACTAAAGAGGACACATATGAAGACTGTAAAGGTCACACATGAGGACTACAAGGTACACATATGAGGACATTAGAGGTCACATTTGAGGACTTTAGAGGACACATATGAGGACTTCAAAGGACACGTATGAGGACTTCAGAGGACATAAATAAGGACCATAAAGGACACGAATGAGGACTTTAGAGGTCACATATGAGGACTTTAAAAGGACACATATACAGACTTCAGAGGTGCCCTATGAGGACTTAAAAAAGATCACGTGAGGACTGTAGAGGTTACATATGAGGACTTTAAAAAGTGCAATAAAAGGACTGTAAAGGTCTCATACCACACAAACTGACCCTTGAGTTTTCAGTTGCGTTATGACATTGTTACTTCTTTAAATCCTACCTTGGCCTTTCCCTGGAAGTTGAAGGTGAGCACGTACTCTCCTCGCCGCGTTTCACTTTGTCGCACGAGGAACACGCCGTGAGACGCCGGGCCCCCGGCGAGCACCAGCTGCGCCGCCTTCAGCCGAGACAGGGTCCCATGGAACCACTGGCACTCACTGAGCGGGTGCTCCACAGGGTCAGATGAGGGCGGGTCAGAGAACAGGAAGGAGCCTGCAGGGGGCGCAATACCACAACATCAACATGTGTAATACAACATGAATAATACAATCATTTCTCAAATATTATTTTTATGATCTGACTGCGAGGTGGTGATGGTGGGGAGAGGAACCGTACCTGTGGCGTCGGGCGTCTCTGCAAACGGCGTGCCCAGACTGGCCCCGCCCCCTCCCAGAATCCTGCCGTCTGATTCGTCGAGAGGAGCCCGGGGCGGGAGCTCAGGAGGAAGTGGGTCCAAGAGGGGGGAGGAGCCCGAGATGCCGCCGTAACAAACTGAAAAGAGAGAACCAGGTCTAAACCGGGACTAAACCGGGACTAAACCGGGACTAAACCGGGACTAAACCAGGTCTCACCTTGTGAAAGTCGGTCCACGATCTCAGGAGTCCCGCTGATGTCCAGGGGTCCGGTTCCTTCAGACTCGTCCTGTTCACTGCAGAAACAGAAAAGGATCATTATGACAGATTATATTCTCATACACTTTTACTTTCCAAATATTATTGTATTTTGGAAAATACTTTGTGATGCACAGGAGCAGGAGTGTTTTGTTCACTGCACATTTCTCTGATCTGGCCAAGATTTAAAAATTTATATCAGGTTATTCATCTTGTTTTCAGATTTATGATTGACTTATTCATTCCGAGACGGTTTAATTCTCTAGAGGTCGTTTATTTTCAGAGAACTTGTCAAGTAAAATGATCTCGCTGCATGGACACATCATGTCTCTACAGTCCCTGACAAAAGTCTTGTTTATCCATTTTGTAGAAACAAAAGCTTATAACCTGACTTTAAATTAATCGATTGGTTTTAGAAATGTCTCATATGAAGCTAAAACCCTCCCAAATTATTATCAATATACTAAAATAAATGTGCTTCACTGAAGAAAGATTGATCATTTAATGAGCACAGAAAGGTCAGATTTTGACAAGACAAAAGTCTTGTGGCCTTGTCATATGATGCACCAATCCTAGATTACAGCCTCATCTGTGATCAGTTACTGATCAATCAGTTAGTGTTTGTGTATAAAAAGAACCCAGCAGAACCAGACCTTCACATCAACTGTAACTTGACCTCTGACAACATGCCTAAGATCCACCCTGAGACCAAAGCGTAAATTATCAAGAGACTGAAGACCAGATCCACTGCTGAGGTGGTGACACCTTCAATGTGTCTCAGCGTCAAGTACAAAGAATAAGAAAAAGATCTGAAATGACTGGAGATGTTTTTGACAAGCCCAGGTCCAGCAGACGCCGCAACACAACTGCTCAGGAGGAAAATCCAAGGCCCCTTTTCCACTGCAGCAGACTCCACCAGGCCTGGTCACCTCAAGTCCCTGTGTCAACCACAACAGTTTGTAGAATTCTGTCTGGAAATGGCCTCCATGGTCGAATCAGTGCACAGAAACCAGCACTAAACAAAAGACAATTAAAAAACCATGTGGCATTTGCCAAGGCCCACAGCCTGATAAAAGGATGGACACTGGAAAAGTGGCAGAAGGTGGATTTCTCAGATGAATCCTCGGTTGAATTACATCACAGCCACAGCAAATATTGCAGGAGACCAACTGGAGCCACATGGATCCAAGATTCACCCAGAAAACAGTTCAGTTTGGTGGCGGAAAAATCCTGGTCTGTGGTTCCATCCAGTCTGGGGGTGTGAGACATTTGCAGGGTTGAAGGCAAATATCAATAACCTAAAATATCAAGAAGTATCAGCTCCTCTTACATTCCCAATCATAAAAGGGGTCAGATTTTGCAGCAGGATGGTGCTCCATCACATACTTCTATCTCTACATCAAAGTTTGTCAAGGTGAAGAAGATCAAGGTGCTGCAGGACTGACCAGTCCAGTCACCAGACATGAACATCACTGAGCAGGTCTGGGGTAGAATGAAAGAGGAAACATGAAGACAAAACCAAAGAATCTTGATGAACTCTGGGAGGCTGTAAGACGCTTTCTTTACTATTCCTGATGACTTCATCAACAAACTGTATGAATCATTGTTGAACCACATGGATGTGTCCTTCAAGCTCATGGAGTCATACAAGATATTAAATCTGATCTCACAGCATCACTACTTCATTCACTGACGTTATGCAACATGTTTTAGTATTTGAAGTAAATTATTTGTTCAATTTTCTGTAGGCGACAAAACTTTTGTCTTGCCAAAATCTGACCTTTCTGTGTTCATTAAATGATCAATCTTTCTTCAGTAAAGCAATTTTATTTTAGTATTATTGAGCATAATTTGGGAGGGTTTTAGCTTCATATGAGACATTTCTAAAACCAATCGATTAATTTAAAGTCAGGTTATAAGCTTTTGTTTCTACAAAATGGATAAGCGACAAGACTTTTGTCAGGGACTGTACTTTTAGATTTAAGTGTTTAAATCTTAAATTTTGGGCAATATTTTTGCAGTGTTGTCTCTTGTTAAAAAATTTACAAAACCCCAAAAAGTGAGTATAATTATTGTAGTGTAGCCGTAGTGTGCGCGACATTATGCGTGTGACTTCATTCCGTGTGGCATCATTCATGTGACATCATTTGTGAGAAATCATTCGCGTGACATTTGTATGACATCATTCGCGTGACATCATTCATATGTGACATCATTCGTACGTGACATCATTCACATGACATCATTCACGTGACATCATTCATGTGACATTATTCATATGACATTATTCATATGACATCATGCGTGTGACATCATTCGTATGTGACATCATTCGTACGTGACATCATTCGCATGACATCATTCACATGACATCATTCATGTGACATTATTCGTATGACATCATGCGTGTGACATCATTTGTGAGAAATCATTCGTGTGACATCATTCGTATGTGACATCATTCGCGTGAGTGGGCGTTACCTGAGGCACATGGCGTTCCTGATGTCGCTGAGCCACGCCCTCATCTGCACGGCGTCGCGAGTCTCGATCATGTACTGTGCCGACCCGTCCAACTGAAAACACAGCAGCGAGGGGACGAGTCGTATTATTTGTCATATAGTAGTAGTAGTACTTATAGTAGGAATAATAGTGTATTTGTTGTAGTAGTATTTGTATAGTAGTCATCTTAGAACTTATAGTCATAGTATTATATATAGTAGCAGTAGTAGAAGTACTCATACCAGTAGTAGCATTTATAGTAGTAGTAGTAGTAGTACTTGTCTTGTGTTACCTGCAGGAGGAAGGTGTTCACTTTGCAGTAGTAGTACTAGTAGTAGTAGTAGTAGTAGTAGTAGTAGTAGTAGTCAGTAGTAGTAGTAGTAGTAGTAGCTAGTAGTAGTAGTAGTAGTAGTAGTAGTAGTAGCAGTAGTAGTAGTAGTAGTAGTAGTAGTAGCAGTAGTAGTAGTAGTAGTAGTACCTGCAGGAGGAAGGTGTTTTCTTTGTCGGGCATCTCCAGAGCCGTGGTGCTTCTCACGTCCACGATGGAACAGCAGGGGGCGCTGAGACGAGGCTTCGACGCCTGACCACAGACAGGTGAACAGACAGGTGAGACAGACAGGTGAAACAGACAGTACTCGAGGTAGTACTTATATTAGTAGTAGTAGTATTTATAGTGGTAGTAGTATTTTAACACCTCACACGCTGTCTTAAAGGGCCGGCGTCTCTTTTACCTTTGGCGGGATGAAGTACTTGAGGTAGTACTTATACTTTACCTTTGGCGGGATGAAGTACTTGAGGTAGTACTTATACTTTACCTTTGGTGGGATGAAGAACTTGAGGTAGTACTTATACTTTACCTTTGGTGGGATGAAGAACTCGAGGTAGTACTCCTCCCCTCGCTCGCCGTCGCGCTCTCGTTCTCGCAGTACCAGGCGACACTTGTGCCAGCGCCCGCCCCTCCACGCCACGCTGCCCCCGGCGGGCGGGAGCGGCGCCGGCGCGTGATTGGCCGCCGGGCTGCTGTCGCCGCTGTGGTGGAGCAGACCGAAGGAGAAGCCGGAGAAAGCCCCGCCCCCGAAGTCATCGTGAGACGCGCTGACTGTGACTCCGCCCTCTCGCACCTGCAGACCACAACGTGAACTTTAACCTTTCAGAGGTCAGAGGTCAGAGTTAGAAAATATTATATTATTCACAGACACATGTGCAGTGTGTTGTGTGTTTTAAGAGGTGATGTTCCACAGTGCAGCATTAAACTTTAATAGAACGTCATAACAGATTTAAAGGTTGTATGGAGGATTTATTTTTTTTTGTTTCAAATTCAATGAAAGTTTAAAATACCGTTACAGAGACACAGCAGCTTTGTTATTACGACGACCAAAAAAAAAAAAAGAATGAAAATCTATCAACTGTGGACGTGTTGAGGCCAGATAAACATCAGCCAATAGAAAACGAGGCTCCCTCATTTTCTATTGGCTGTTAGGTTGTCAATCAAAATCCCTACATTTCTAGTGTAAGTGACTCGTCGGCGCGCGGGGATTACGTTCTTAGAGGCTTTTTCAAACTGTCACTTCTTCGCAATTCGCACAAAGTTTGTTGCGACGGCGGACGAGAATCCACAACCAGTTCCCCGCAAAAGAAAGTCGGTTTTTGAGGTCGCTAAAAGAAGAAGAAGAGATGGGGAAAAGGAGCGAAGACAAACTGAGGTGATTCTTGGAGATCTCTTCCAGCAATTGTGTCAATGAAGCAGACAAAGAGTGTAAAAACTGATGTGTCAGTTGCTAAATTATTTCAAGACAGGAAACTTCAACAGTAATTCTGAACGTGCACTGGATGTAAAGAAACGTGACTCTAAGTCAGGGGTGTTCACACTTTTTCATCATGTGAGCTTCTTACAAAATGACCAAGTCAAAATGATCTACCTCATACAAAGCCAAACAAACTGCACTGAAAAACTCTGTGCCCCTTTTTTGGACCCTCCCCCACAGTTTGAGAACCTCTTCTTTAAGAGAACTTCCTCTGGCACTTTACACAAAACTGTGAAAAAAGTGAAGGACGATTTTTAAACCTGTTTTTTAAAGTTCCAAACTGGAGTTTCATTCTTTTCTGGTTTTGCAGTGATATTTACCAGCCTCTGCACGTTTACCAAACCAAACGCACATCGTGACAAACACAGATGCATTTGTCACTTTTGTTAGACAAACTTCAGCCAAATGTGGCAGTAGGTCTGTTCTGTAGATCCGCTCTATGCTGTAGACCTGCTTTGTGCCAACACTGGAACACAAATTTAGACTGGTTTTTGCTCCACGTTTGGTCTTGCTCTTCTAATCAGCTGCACTGTGGGAGGGGCTTGTGTTGGCTGTACGCAGGAAGGAGCGAGAGCGTGAAAAGGCGAGGGGCGGCGTGCTGACGTGAGGCAGGTGGACAGGTAGGATGTTTAGGAAGTTGAACCTGCCCTGTGATGCACGCTGGTACACGAGGGCACACGCTGTCGCAGACGAGCCGTGCATAGGGAGCGTGTGTGTTTGTGATGCGCCGTAGAGTCTCCGCGGGTTTCAAATGAGCGCACAGGCTGCACTGAGACGCCCCACACGCTCCTGCACCCGCTACAAGTACTACTACTACTACTACTACTACACTTCTACCACCGAGTACTACAACAGGTACCACACGCTCCTGCACCCGCTACAAGTTTATTACCAACAGCAGCGGCTGTAATGAAATATGATCACACTTGTTGAGTGTCAAACCTCGAGTGAGAGACAAGACCGAGTCCAAACACGAGTCCGAGACGAGACACGGCGATCTACCCACACGACCTTGGAGATCGACTGGTAGATCGAGATCGACGTATTGAGCACCACTGATCTAGAATAACCAAATACACAACAAAACCTGCCCATGTTTCTCCGATGCGGCTGAAGTCAGTGACTTAGTGACATAGCGTGCCCGGCGTAGGTACCGTTGCCATGGAGACACGTGATGGTGCAAAGCCTCTATAGACAACCATGGAGGTTTGATGTTCACTTTTTCAGAGGATCCTTCCCAGTTTGGACTGCGCAATGACCGGAAGTCCAAAATTCAGGATGTATGTATTGGACGCTCGTTTTCCCTACGTCATCATAAATTTCTATCTTTTTGGTTGGAAAGTTCTGTGCTGTTTTATTTTTCACTCTGGAAGCGTTCGCGACATTTTGAACTTTCATTGACAATTTGAAACTAAAAAAATCTTCCGTAAAAAAACTCGCAGTTGTTTTCTTTTTGATTTTTGCGTGTACATTTGCTCGTGTCGTGCTTCCTGTGTGTGTCGTGTGGTACCAGTCGGCCGGGCTTCCTGCCGGCGCCGGGCGGGAGCGAGGCGGACGTGGGTGGCGTGTTGGCGACGGGCGCGGCGGGCACCATGCTGAGGGCGGGCGGCGGCGAGCGTGACAGGCGCAGCTTGTCCAGGCGCTGCGTCCACTTGTCCTTGTGCTGCGGGTTCTCTCCGTTACTACGGCGACGGCTGGGCGGGTCCTGGGACAGAGACGAGGACGAGGACGACGAGTGGGGCAGCGACAGGGGCATCGACAGGGACACGGGCATCGACGGGGGCGCACCTGGCGAACGCTTACCCCCGTCCTGAGAGAGAGAGAAAGACAGAGAAAGAGAGAGGGGGGGGGGGGGTTATTATGAACTAAACCAGGACTAAACCAGGACTGAACCAGAACTAAACCGGGACTAAACCAGGTCTAAAACAGGACTAAAACACGACTAAAACTGGACTAAACCAGGACTAAACCAGGACTGAACCAGAACTAAACCGGGACTAAACCGGGTCTAAAACAGGACTAAAACACGACTAAAACACGACTAAAACTGGACTAAACCAGGACTAAACCAGGACTGAACCAGAACTAAACCGGGACTAAACCGGGACTAAACCGGGACTAAACCGGGTCTAAAACAGGACTAAAACACGACTAAAACTGGACTAAACCAGGACTAAACCAGGACTAAACCAGGTCTAAACCAGGACTGGACCCGGTCTCACCTGGACCCCCATGGTGTAGCTGTAGCTCTGTGGGAGCTCGGTGGACGTGCTCCTCCAGTGAAGGATTCCTCTCACACTTCTGCTCATGTTCCTCAGAGAAAAACGCTTCTTCAGCCTCTTGGAACCGTTCCCTTTAGAACTACAACAGAACAGAACCATCAGGAACCATCAAGAACCACACAGAACCATCAGGAACCAGACAGAACTAGACAGAATCAGAAAGAACCAGACACAACCATTAAGAAGAACCACACAAAACCATTAAGAATGATTAAGAACCAAACAGAACCACACAGAACCCCCAGGAACCTTCAAGAACCATTAGGAACCATCAAGAACCATCAGGAACCACACAGAACCATCAGGAATCGTCAAGAACCAAACAGAATCAGAAAGAACCAGACAGAACCATCAAGAGGAACCACGCAGAACCAGAAAGAACCACATAGAACAACACAGAACTATCAAGAACCATCAGGAACCACACAGAACCATTAGGAACCACATAGAGCATCAAGAACCATCAAGAAGAACAACACAGAACCATCAAGAACCATCAAGAACCACACAGAACCATTAAGAACCAAACAGAATCAGAAAGAACCACTTAGAACCATTAAGAACCAGAAAGAACCACTTAGAACCATTAAGAACCAGAAAGAACCACACAAACATCAAGAAGAACCAGACAGAACCAGACAGAACAGTCAAGAAGAACCATCAAGAAGCACACAGAACCACACAAACCCAGAGGAGCAGATGTTTGTACCTGGTGTGGTTCTGGGACGTGTCTGCTCCCTCTCCCTGCTCGACAGCTCCTCCTCTCTCGTCTTCTTCTCCGATCGACGCCGTCCCGGTCCAGCTCTCCTCCTCCGGTTCTTCCTGTTCTTCGACGGGCGCGGCGCCGTTTCCCGCGGGTCGGCGCCCGTTGTTCCCGCCCACGGAGGAGGAGCAGGAGGAGGAGGAGGACGGCGGGTGGGCGGGCGCATCCAGGCGGGAGGCGGAGACACACGGCGGTTTGGTCAGGACGCGAGGAGGAGCAGAGACCGGAGACAGGGCCTCTTCATCCTCCAGAGACGTGCCATCAGACTGAGGAGCCCACGAGCACAGCTGAGGAGACAGGAGAACATCAGACGAACATCGGAGGAACATCAGAGGAACCACCAGAGGAACATCAGAGCAACATTAGAGGAACCTTCAGAGGAACCTCCAGAAGAACAAACAGAGAAAGAATCAGAGGAACATCACAGAAACATCAGAGAAGCAAGAAGAACCACCAGAGGAACCATCAGAGGAACCTCCAGAGGAACCTCCAGAGGAACCACCAGAGGAACCTCCAGAGGAACCTCCAGAGGAACCACCAGAGGAACCTCCAGAGGAACCTCCAGAGGAACCATGAAAGGAACCACCAGAGGAACCACCAGAGGAACCACCAGAGGAACCACCAGAGGAACCTCCAGAGGAACCTCCAGAGGAACCACCAGAGGAACCTCCAGAGGAAACCCCAGAGGAACCTCCAGAGGAACCACCAGAGGAACCACCAGGACAGAAACCATCAGAGGAACCAACAGAGGAACCATCAGAGGTCTCCTTGGAGACGATCTTCTAACCCTCAGTAACATTCACACACTCACCGTCTCCTCCCTCCCGGCGGCGGCGCTGCTCTGCGGCGCCCCCTGCAGTTCGCTCTGAAAGTGGCGCACAAAGCGGTCGGTGAAGCGGCGGCAGAAGGCGGCGGCCGAGTCGGGCGAGTAGTGCGGATTCTCCAACAGGAACGCACGAAAGTGGCGAGCGAAGTCTCCCGCGGCGACGCGAGCGTGAAGCTCACAGAACTCTGTCCAGCTGAGGCACGGCGAGGGCGAGGGCGTGGGCGTGTCCGACAGGGACGACAGGTGAGACGACAGGTGAGAGGACAGGTGCGGCGCGGGGGGCGGAGTCACCAGCGTGGGCAGCGGTGAGGGGCGGGGTATCAGGGGCAGGAGGGAGGGGGAGGGGGCGAGGGCGAGGGGGACGGCGACGGCGGCAGCGGCGAAGAGTTGGCCGCCCGAGGGCTGGGCGGAGTCAGCAACGCGCCGTTCATATTGTCCAATCAGAGACTGGAGCGGCCAGACAACAGGAAGTCACTCCAGAGAGGTCAGAGGTCAGGACAGAGTCAAGTCTCCAACATGGCGCCTTCGGTCGAGAGTCGCCGTCGAGAAAACCAATCACAGCGTCGAGAAAACCAATCACAGCGCCGAGAAAACCAATCACAGCGCCGAGAAAACCAATCACAGCGCCGGGAAAACCAATCACAGCGCCGGGAAATCCACGAGACACGATCCAGACGAGAAGGTCAGGGGTCAAACATGGCACCACAGAAAACTTTATGTTCGTCTAAAACGTCTAAATCAGCGACGATGGAGCGGTCAGTCCTCGGTGTCCCACATCGCCGTGCCGCTCGCCCGAAAACTCCAAAACGAAAAACTGAAAGGAATTTTACAAAAACGAAGAATCTCCAGAAGAGTCAGAGCGTCGCGGCGCCGTCCTCGGGGCCCATTCCTCCGAGCTCCACGTGTTTGGACCAAATGTCAAACTCAAAATGTCCGACGTGTTTGTCGCCGCCGGAAATGAACAAAAACAAAACTAGAAGATAAAAAAGTGAGTCTCTTTAACGCTGCTTCGGACGTGGCTCAGATCAGATTTTCTTTCACGTTTCTCAGTCGAATTTGACGTTTAAATTGTCCCCCAAAAAAATAAAAATAAAAAAATAAATCGCACGTTTTCAGTCGAAATTCAAAATGGCTGCCAAGAAGAAGAAGAAGAATCTCTCGAAATGTTTCCGGTTTCAGTCAAAGTGGCTTAAATTAAAGGTGAAATGTTTAAATAGTGTTTTCAAAATGAGGCTGTTTGAAAGTGCAAAGATCACGGCGGGTTCGAGGGAAACACTGTCGCGCCGACGTCGGCCGCTGTTATTTGCGTCTCGTCGAACGTGATTGGACGGCGGCGTTGGCGTCGGGGCTCGGCAGGCTGCGATTGGACGAGAGAGCCATGTTTTCAGCAAAGAGGCGTCGACTCGAGGAGCTACATGTTTTTAAGGATCCGACGTTTGAGCTTTGAGTCTCAGATCCAGCGCAGAACATTCTGGAACGACAAAGAACACGTCAGGGCTGAGAAAGAAAGAAGTTTAACTCTCACAGTGTCACGAGACCAACATTTTACACTCGAGTTCGATCTTAAAGGGACAGTTTGGTTTTTTGACATGAATCTGTGTGTCGTCCCCGTGAGCAGCGTCACATCCACTGACTCGTTAGTGACGTTTTCGGTGCTGATGAAAGTCGTCCCACAAGTTGTTCTGGGGACAGAATAATAAAGTGTTTTTCTTCTCACAACAATCTGTGTTCAAAAGAGACACATTTACACCACAAAACCATCGTTGAATAAAAAGTCAGACTCATTATCACTTGGCTCTATTTTCTCTCCGTTCGTATCACTGCGCTGCAGGTCACAGCCGCACGGATCCATCACTTTGTTCAGTTGTTTGTCAGTGTTTACATGCGAGAACATGAGAACTACAGACATAAGTATATAAACCTGTATAAGATACATAAGAATATATGGAACAAATGGTGCGACTCTTGATTCTCCAGGCTGTGAAGCAGGCGCGGCTGTCACCTGGCAGCAGCGCAGTGATACGAACGGAGAGAAAATAGTCCCAAGTGATCATGAGGTGTGACTTCTTATTCGACGATGGTTTTGTGATGTAAATGTGTCTCTTTTGAACACAGATTGTTTTGAGAAGAAAAACACTTTATTATAATGTCCCCAGAACAACTTGTCAGACGACTTTCATCAGCACCGAAAACGGTCAGTATCTGGACTCACCGGACGCTGTTGGGGGTGAGTCAGTGTTGATACACGACACTGCTCATGGGGACGACACACAGATTTATGTCCAAAAACCCAAACTATCCCTTTAAGGAACAGACTCGATACTCGATACTGATTCTGATCCCAGGACCAAAATAAAACCCTCTGTGTTTAGACAGTACGACGGAGTAAAAGGGTCAGATTAAAAAAAATGTAAAGATGCTGGCGCTACGAGAATAAAGTTGTAACATTTCAACATTAAAGTCGTAATTTTAGGAGAATAAAGTCGTGGTCAAAATAAAGTGTTAATATCAGGAGAACATCAGCGGCTTGAGGAGAATTTGGAGCATTTTGTAAAGGAGAAGAATCTGTGTTTCATTCGTTCATTTGACTGAAAAAGGACTGAATCAGGACTAAACCAGGTCCAGAACCAAACCAGAAAGACCAGGACTGAGACCGGGACCAGACCAGGACTGAAAATGGTTTAGTCCTGGTTTAAAGTCACGGAAATGGGAAATGGTGTTTCTGTGACTTTAAAATGTGATGCAGGACTGAACCAGGACTGATCTCGGACCTGGTTTAGTCCTGGTTTAGTCCTGGTTTAGTCCTGGTTTAGTCCTGGTTTAGTCCGGAGGTGCAAATACTGAAGAAAATTGTTGTTCGTTTTCTTATTTTTGGTTTTATATTGAAAAACAAGGTTCTTCTTCTGACGCATTTTTCACTTTGACTTTGATTTTATTACAACTTCATTCTCGTAAAATTATAACTTTATTCTCATAATATTATCACTTTAATGTCGAAATGTTACGACTTTATTCTCGTAGCGCCAGCATGTTTTTTTTTTTTATTTGACCCTTTTACTCCATCGTAAGACAGAGCTGTGATTTTACACTTTAAATGTAGAACTTTCCTTTTCTGTTCCCATGAGTCTTTACATCTGTGTGAGAATAAACCAGGACTAAACCAAAACTAAACTCAACCAGGTTTAAACCAGGGTCATTCCACGACATTTCATCCAATTTCCAGAAAATCTCACCCATCATGTTTTTTTTTTTTAATTGGAAAAAATGACCAGCTGGTCCCTTATTATCATGAATAAACCCTGTGAAGTTTTAATCATTTTCAATCTTTACTTTTTAAGTTCCAGCTCATTTAGTGAGGAGAGTCTGTGTCACTTTATGGACCAAAAATTGCGTCATTTTTTCTCGTCTGTTTTCACAGGTCGATGTCTCCGTTAAGTATCTCACACACACACGGGGCTGAAACGTTGTAGACTTGTTCTCCTCGACTCTGTGTTCAAATCACAACTGTCCAAAGTTTGGTTTCTCAACTCATTGTCATTTTATATGAACTTAAACATGAAAAAAAAAACAACTTTTTTTTAGACCCTTTTTAAACCTACTTGTAGGTGTAGGAGACGCCTTACATTTTTTTGAGAATCAAGATTTGTACTAGGAGTGTTAAAAAAAAATCACTAAATTATTGAAAATTTGAAATAGTTTATGTGTGAGGCTCCTGTTAAAAACCAAGAAAATGCAACATGGTCCGATTTTCACATGTCATTTCTGGCATGTGGGTAGTGATAAAAAATTTTGAATAATTTATTTTTGAAAGACCAGAAAAAGATCTTTCATATGGAACCAAACATATGTGTTTTATGAAACTCCTTCAATTTTTTATTGTATCTTGAACATTCACATTTTTGAGGTTTCAGTCATCGTGTAAAACAGAATGACACGAGTTTACAGTGACCATGTACTGAGTTTGTAACAGAGTCGAGGAGCACAAGACTACATAATGTCAGCCCTGTGTTTGTGATACTTACGGAGACATCGACCTGTGAAAACGGATGAGAAAAAATGACATGATTTTGGCCCCGTAAATGGACACACACTCTGCTCATAAAATGAGCTGGAACTTAAAAAGTAAAGATCGAAAATCACTAAAACTTCACAGGGTTGGTAAATGATAATAAGGGAATATTTGGGGTTTTTTTTTACAATTTTTTTAGATCGAAGTGCGTGGGCCATTTGGTGAAATGGTGTGGAATAACCCACCAGGTCTAAACCAGGTCTAAACCAGGTCTAAACCAGGTCCATGGGTGTTTACTAGTCTATGTACAATACATCTCGTTACAGTGCACTTTCAATTCGATATTCGATATATTTCAAATCAATTCAATACGGTTCAATCCGTGTATCATTCGTTCATTCGTTTTTCAATATAAAACCAAAAATAAGAAAACGAAAAAACAACAGTTTTCTTCGTTATTTGTCTCCAAAACCAAAATGAAAAAACGGATAACGATTCGTTTTTTCAGTTTTCGATTTTGTGTTTAAATGAAGAATGGAAAAAACGGATTACGGCCGTTTCCCGTTTACGTGACTTCTGTGACTGCGATGCCGAACTTTTGCACCGCGTACGGACCGAACCGGGACTGATCCAGGTCCGAGACCAGACCGAGACCAGAGCGGGACTGAGACCGGGACCAGAGCGGGACCAGACCGGACTCCGAGCTTTGACTCCGAGCCTCCACGGGGTCCGAGCCTCAGCTTCGAGCTCCGGCCCTGCTGTGGGCTCTGAGCCTCCGGTCTGGTCCCGGTCTGGTCCTGGTCTTGTCTCGATCTCGGTCTCAGGCCCGCTCTGGTCCCGGTCTGGTCCCAGTCTCACCGCATACGGACTGAATCAGGACGGATCCAGGTCCGAGACCAGACAGAGCTGCTCTGGTCCTCCGCGCTCAAGAACCGCGGCTGATTCCGAGGTGGTGCAAAGCCTCCGACTGACGCTTTCACCCCAACGAAAACGAACCGAACTAAGACCGGGACCAGAGCGCTACTGAGACTCAGTCCCGGTCTCGGTCCCGCTCTGGTCCTGGTCTCAGTCCCGCTCTGGTCCCGGTCTCAGTCCCGCTCTGGTCTCGCTCTGGTCTCGGACCTGGATCAGTCCTGGTTCAGTCCGTACGCGGTGCAAAAGTTCGGCATCTCAGTCACTGAAGTCACGTAAACGGGAAACGGCCGTTATCCGTTTTTTCCATTCTTCATTTAAACACAAAATCGAAAACTGAAAAAACGAATCGTTATCCGTTTTTTCATTTTGGTTTTGGAGACAAATAACGAAGAAAACTGTTGTTTTTTCGTTTTCTTATTTTTGGTTTTATATTGAAAAACGAATGAACGAATGATACACGGATTCGGTTCAGTAAAATAAAGTCTAAATCTCATCTGTGACACTAAAAGTTTTTTTTAAATCACTTCTTCTTGTGTAAAGTTCATCTGAAACTCAAACATTTAAATCGTCAAAACTGTGAAAATGTCAAATGTGTCGCAGAAACGAGTTTCCTTCATCTGAACAAACAACAAAACTGGAGCTGGAACTAAATCATTTAGTCAAATAAACCAAAAAAATCCTCTTGGTGATATATTGATACAGCAGCCCACGATATCGATACTGAATCATCACATTAAACGATACGATATATCGATATTTTGATATTTCTGCACACTGCTATCCAAAACTAAATCATTTATTTCATACAATTTGTGGCTCAATTGTCGATTTCTGCTGAACTAAAGGTAAAAGGAGCTGTTCACTTGTAAACTACCACTTCATGACATCACAAGGTGGAGCAGAGCATTCTGAGCTTTGGAGATGTAACAGACTCAGAATAAAGAGTCACTCAAACAAAACACAAGTCCAGCTCTGATTTTGAGGAGGGAACAACATTAGAACAGGATTTTAAGCCAATTTTGTTGAATATAAGACCTTAAAGTCTGAGTATTTTTTGTTCATCTTATTTTTAGACTCTAGGGGCAGAAGTTAAATCACAGGGGCCCCACAGTCTCCTCTTTTCCAGGGTGTTTTGGAGCCACTGGAGCCCGTGTCTCGGTTCCCCCCGCACAGCCCCGTCCTGCCGTGTCCGCGGACCCGCTCCTCCGCCCTCCTCCGCCCGCCTCACAGCGCTCTGTCCCCGGGGGCTGACAGCTCGGAGCCTCCCCGTAAAACCACCCAGAGCCCCGGAGGCTGCTCCTCATTCACCGCTCCGAGCCCGAGCTTAGCCGCGGAGGAGCTAACGGAGCCGCCCGGTCCGCTCACCCTCCGCCCCGGGGCTCACGGCGGAGCACAGCCCGGCTCCGCGCTCCGTCCCCCCGCGGTGCGCCCTCCGCTCTCCTCCCCGCGGGGCCCGGAGCTGTTTCCCGGGGGCAGCGCGGACAGAACCCCCCGAGCCCCGGCGGAGGGTGAGCGCGCTGCGGCTAACCAGGCTAATCCCGTTAGCTGGTGCTAGTTAGCCGCGGTCGCCCTGCTCTTTGTAACGCGGCGGTTCGCGGAGGGGGAAAGGGCGGCGGTACCTGGAGAGAACAGGCCGGGCTCCGCGCACTCTCCTCCGGGTAGAGCTGCTCCATGGGTCCCGCTCAGGTCCGGTTCGGCGGAGAAACGCGCATTTTCCCCGAAGCTTGTTTTTGTTGCTAAATCTGAAGATGCGTCCAAACGAGAATCTCGCGCCGCCGCTGGTATCGCGAGATTTGAGGGGAGGCTTGACTGAAGGACTAAACCAGAACTAAACCAGGACTAAACCAGGACTAAACCAGAACTAAACCAGGACTAAACCAGGACTAAACCAGGACTAAACCAGAACTAAACCAGGACTAAACCAGGACTAAACCAGGACTAAACCAGGACTAAACCAGGACTAAACCAGGACTAAACTAGAACTAAACCAGGACTAAACCAGGACTAAACCAGAACTAAACCAGGACTAAACCAGGACTAAACTAGAACTAAACCAGAACTAAACCAGGACTAAACCAGGACTAAACTAAAACCAGGACTAAACCAGGACTAAACTAAACCAGGACTAAACTAAACCAGGACTAAAAGGACTAAACCAGGACTACTAAACCAGGACTAAACCAGGACTAAACCAGACTACTAAACCAGGACTAAACCAGGACTAAACCAGGAAACTAAACCAGACTACTAAACCAGGACTAAACCAGGAACTAAACCAGGACTAAACCAGGACTAACTAGGACTAAACCAGGACTAAACCAGGACTAAACTAAACTAAACCAGAACCAGGACTAAACCAGGACTAAACCAACTAAACAGGACTAACTAAACCAGGACTAAACTAAACTAAACCAGACTACTAAACCAGGACTAAACCAGAACTAAACCAGGACTAAACCAGGACTAAACCAGACCTAAACCAGGACTAAACTAGAACTAAACCAGGACTAAACCAGGAACTAAACCAGGACTAAACTAGGACTAAACCAGGACTAAACCAGGACTAAACCAGAACTAAACCAGGAACCAGGACTAAACTAAACCAGGACTAAACCAGAACTAAACCAGACTAAACCAGGAACTAAACCAGGACTAAACCAGGACTAAACCAGGACTAAACCAGGAAAACTAAACCAGAACTAAACCAGGACTAAACTAAACCAGGACTAAACTAGAACTAAACCAGGACTAAACCAGGACTAAACCAGGACTAAACCAGGACTAAACCAGAACTAAACCAGGACTGAACTAGGACTAAACCAGGACTAAACTAGAACTAAACCAGGACTAAACCAGAACTAAACCAGGACTGAACTAGGACTAAACCAGGACTAAACCAGGACTAAACCAGGACTAAACCAGAACTAAACCAGAACTAAACCAGGACTAAACTAGAACTAAACCAGGACTAAACCAGGACTAAACTAGAACTAAACCAGACCAGGACTAAACCAGAACTAAACCAGGACTAAACCAGACTAAACTAAACCAGAACTAAACCAGGGACTAAACCAGGACTAAACCAGAACTAAACCAGGACTAAACCAAGGACTAAACCAGGAACTAAACCAGGACTAAACCAGGAACTAAACTAGAACTAAACCAGGACTAAACCAGACTAAACCAGACTAAACCAGGACTAAACCACCAGGACTAAACCAGACTAAACCAGGACTGACTAAACCAGGACTAAACCAGGAACTAAACCAGGACTGGACTAAACCAGAACTAAACCAGGACTAAACCAGAAACCTAAAAACCAGGACTAAAACCAGAACTAAACCAGGACTAAACCAGGAACTAAACCAGAACTAAACCAGGACTAAACCAGAACTAAACCAGGACTAAACCAGGACTAAACCAGGACTAAACCAGGACTGAAGGACTAAACTAAACCAGGACTAAACTAGAACTAAACCAGGACTAAACCAGGACTAACTAAACCAGGACTAAACTAAACCAGGACTAAACTAAACCAGGACTAAACTAAACTAAACAGACTAAACTAAACCAGGACTAAACCAGGACTAAACCAGAACTAAACCAGGACTAAACTAAACCAGGACTAAACCAGGACTAAACCAGGACTAAACCAGACTAAACCAGAACTAAACCAGGAAACCAGGACTAAACTAAACCAGGACTAAACCAGGACTAAACCAGGACTAAACCAGAAACTAAACCAGGACTAAACCAGGACTAAACTAAACCAGGACTAAACTAAACCAGGACTAAACTAAACTAAACCAGGACTAAACTAAACCAGGACTAAACCAGAACCAGGACTAAACCACTAAACCAGAACTAAACCAGGACTGAACTAGGACTAAACCAGGACTAAACCAGGACTAAACTAGAACTAAACCAGGACTAAACCAGACTAAACCAGGACTAAACCAGGACTAAACCAGGGACTAAACCAGAACTAAACCAGGACTAAACTAAACTAAACAGGACTGAAAACCAGGACTAAACCAGAACTAAACCAGAACTAAACCAGGACTAAACCAGGACTAAACTAGACTACTAAACCAGGACTAAACCAGAAAACTAAACCAGGACTAAACCAGGACTAAACCAGGACTAACTAACTAAACCAGGACTAAACTAGAACTAAACCAGGACTAAACCAGACTAAACCAGAACTAAACCAGGACTGAACTAAACCAGAACAACTAGACTAAATATACTGCGTAGGACTAAACCAAGAGATCCAGATAAGACATACTAAACTAGAAAAAACAGGACTAAAACTAGAGCTAGAACCAGACTTTATAACCAGTGAACCAGGAGCTAAACTCAGATTTAACGTAATGAAGAGATAAACACCACCATGAACTATCATACATACAGTATTACTATAACCCTAGGGATTCTGCACAGCACTCAGATTTTAACTCGCGAGGACCTGACCAGAATCACTTAAAACTACGATACTAAAACACGCAGCGACTAAAACTATCCGATAACTTAATACATCGCAACGCGTACTCTTACTAAAGTGGTGCTGTTATTGGATTTTGCGATTAGAACTCCGAGGACATAAACCATCGATAAAACTAGAAAACCGTAAGACAATATTATATATTAAATCTGTTAGATCAAAACAGACTGAAATCTTGAGAATCTTAAGATATAACAGTGAAATCGAACAGGTTACGTGTTTCAATGGGGTTTAGGGATAATCTATCGCGACTACAAAAAACAGCTCTTACACAACTCAGAAACTAATAAAACCATGGACTTAACCCCACGTAGCACTATCCGCACGAACTGAATATAAGACACCTAGTAATTGGAGAAATGACACGCTTAAGGGACTAATACACGCAGAATCTAAACCAGGACTAAAGGAGCGCAATGGTTAATGGAGAAAACACGGAGTGACAGCTGGGAGCACGTAATATGGCAGTAGAAACGCAGGACTTGTCTTGAAGAACATACGAACGGTAAGAGCCACCATAAAGGAACTTTAAAAATTCGCTCCAATAACTAAACGCCAAGCAAGACTAGACATACTAGCGTACAATAATAAACTACTCAAAAGGACTCAGGCAACCATGCGATCTGGAGAACGCGAAGAACTCAAAACGTCGCGATATACTATAAACAGCAGGCTATTAAGCAGCAATTTAATAGCGACGGTTAATATAACGTGACCAGAGACTACGGACGTCAAAACAGTGAATCTTTACAAATCGACGTGATCTACAGAGCCAGTATACTGATCAATCTAGACACTGCAATACCAGACGAACTTAATCTGAGTATACTCACAAAATCCCCTATGGTTCACGACTAAACCCAGGATATTTGAATAAACTCTGATGGAACTACACATTTTTCTGATGCATAGTACTTATAACAACCCAGAACTAAAACCAGGCACCCGAACTACCGATCTACACTGCCCAGGACTAAAGGCACGCTTAGAACCATAAAAAAACCACGCGACTAGCAACCGCTAGACACTTTACCATCACCAGGACTGAACTAGGAAAATAAACCAAGCCGGACACACAAACAAGGAACTAAACCAGGCAACCATATATACTCAAGAGGCTAATCTATAACAGCTAACTATCCTGGACAGCTTAGCACGTAAATAATAAACCAGCGCCACTATACGCCAAAGACTACAAGACAACCCAAGGACGGCAGTATACACCAGGGGGCGAAGTCGATCTAAACAGAACTAAACCAGGACTAAACCCAGAACTAACCACACGCAGCAAGACTCACACTAGAACCATACTAGACCAGAACTAACACGCGAGTGGATCCTAGGAAACGCTCAATACTCACAACCCAGCGACTAAACCAAGACTAAACAGCAACGTCCCGCCTGGCTGGTTTCCTTCCTTCGTGTCTTTTCTCCAAAGTCTTAAGTCACAACCGCTAGAAACCTACACTGCTCGAACGCGAACTGAAAGACCCAGGAACGGATCTCACACACTAGAACTAAACCAGGACTTAACCAGGACTAAACAGAACTAAACCAGGACTAAACCTAAGAACTAAACCAGGACTAACCAGAACTAACTCAGGGTACTTGTATTTGACAGTATACTTAAAAGGCACGATGATGACATCAAGAGTAGCACATAAACTCAAGAGACTGGAGAGACACCTATAGGAGAGACTGGGAGGAAGAGCCAGGGAGTGAGAGAGCACACCAGCAATATACCCGTAGAGGCACGCGAGCGGTCTGGACCAGTGGCTGGAGATATCGCTATATGGGTGTCAGTAGGTGTATATATATTGTAAAGTTATAGTACAAGATTGGAGCAATGATAACAATTATCTTATTTTAACTTCTAATAGTAAAAAGGTTAGAGCTCACTTGATATGGAATAATAGATTCAAAGATCAGTGTAACATGTTAAGCTTTATTTCAATAACTGATTTTTTTTGTTCATAATTTTCAACGAGTAAGAGTTTATAATGTAGCTTACATAAGGGCTATAGACCACAGCTTCTGACGCGTACGAGAGCAGAGAGTGCAGCCCTAGAGTAAAAGATATTTAGAAACCAGTTAACTGCATTAGAGTATATTGAGTAACTCCACATAGAATAAATAAGAATAAATGAATATTGATTAACCAGTAAACAAAATGTTGACTTTAGAGAAAATTACTCACAGACATATAATGCAATAATTTTACTTCATGGATGTCAATAGAAACAATATAAAAGAATCATGA